TCGCTATGTTTAAAATTGAAAGCATTTTTTTGTACGAGACTTGAAGTGCAGTCTGTCACTGTGGTGAGGCTAAAGGCACAGCAGTACATAGCGCTATATACACCAACAAATCAGAGATGGATAAGCTGGTGGTAGAAATGGATATGTGCAGTTTAGCATAGAAACGGTTTCCAAATCCTGTTCCCGTGACATGACTGTCATTCCAAGTATCTCTCCGAACTATAAATTCAGGTTCTTTGTCTTGGTCATCCCTGTACCAGAAGAGACCGTAAGCTCTTTGAGTCGTAGAATAAGTACATTGCAACGTCACAGTTTCTCTTTCTTTCTGAGCCATAGTGGCAGATTTCTGACTGAGAGAGTCACCGACACACAGATCTGTAATAAACATGCAAGAGCACGACAATATATTATTTCCTATTTTTCTCAATTGATATTCCCTTGGGAAGATATCCTTATGAGAGAGATGCTATACATACGCAATTTGTTAAAAATGAAATAATAATAATCAATGTATTTTGGTATAGCAGACTTGATTCTGCTGAAAGAGCTACGCATAATATATTGTGAAGTTGAATTGTTGCATATATTTATTGGTGAAATGAAGCACCAAATTGCGTACAACTGTGTACCAATTTTAATCGTGGAAAGAGTCATCAAAATATAATTTAGAGTTTTTTCAGCGACTATTAAACCCGGAATATTATCCACTAAAAATGCTTGATAAATTATTATTATTTGGAGGTTATTATTACCCCATTTGTTCAAACATTGTCCTACTTACTTCTTGGTAAGCAGAGGCGTGTGAGTGGTGTTAGAAAACATGCCCGTGCTTCAGCCATGTCTTGTCCGGGAATCGAATACACTTCCTATCGCTATCCAGTCGAGGACACGAACCACTGAGCTACAGGTCTCCCTCCCTCCAACAAGTGTTGTTGAATTGGAGATGACATTCAGCATCAATACTGTATTAAATTAACCTGACCTAAGGGTTCCCAGCACCAGACAGACAGCAAACAGCCTCATTGCTGCTCCTCAGTCTGTGTGGTTGTGTCTGTGCCATCAGTTTGCTGATAACCCGCAGTGATTGTCGGCATTGGCGGAGCCAAAGTCTCACGTCACCTCATTGGCATCTCAGCTGCGTCTCAACACAACAACCAATTGCTTTTATACCGCGGTTTTCACCAGTCACTGGGGGAAGAGAATCCTCCCTTCAGCTCCTGGTAACAGCGATGCCCATAGCCATAACTAGTAGACTCATCATCAAAATAATATAACAATAATTGTTCCATTTGATGTAGGATATTATCACATTTTCCAGAAGACCGAAAGCGCTTCACATAATCTATTACATAGTGTAGTGACTTTGCATTTTGTGGGCGTATCAAGGCATACGATTGCGCACAGCAGTGTACCATAGATAGTCTTGGATTGAGTGACCAAATTGTTTACCCCTTATTATTCTTTTGAGGGAAATATTAATGGCGAAAAAGCAATCCGCCAATCAGTTTAATATCTACTGCTCGCTAAACGGCGGTTTGTGCAGTAAGGAAACTTTCCCAACATTTCTCCCTGCCGGGAATCGAATACATGTCCCTCGCCAGCGAGATATGTGCTCTAACCACGGTTATTGCATGATCAGTTGAGATCATGGGATCATTGAGTTGTTTGCGTGACAGTCAGTTGAGCTGTTAATGTGATGTTCTCTTTATGTCTCTGACTCCTCTCCCTTCGCACAGGAAATCGATGCTGCGGCCTAGAGAGACAGAATCACAAACCTACTAAACTCTGTTAGTTTTTGTACGAGTCTCTGACTGGTTCTCATCACTGTGTGGTTCGAGAGCACAGTAATATATAGCGCTGTCAGACAGCTCCAGCAGGGAGATGGTTAAACTGGTGAATTTTGTCGAGGTTTGGAGCTCAATAGAGAACCGCTTTTTAGCAAAGTCTGCTTTATCTGTATTACCACCCGAATACTTTTGAAGCACATAATGTGGTTGTGTTTCTTTTTGTTCTCGATACCAGTTTAAATAGTAGCTGCTCAGAGACGTATCATAATGACATTCCATGGTCACACTTCCTCCTTCTTTCCCAATCAATGAACCCACCTTCTGTGTCACAGAGTCTCCCTGGGTCAGGCCTGAAAGACAAGAGCGTGGAGTCCTGTAACTGAGTTGTGAAAGTTCTCGCCTCGCAAACGAAAGGACCCGGGTTCGATTTCCGGACAGGTCAGGGCACAATCCTAGGCAAGTTTCGTTAGCGCACACTACACTGTTTACCCAATAGTAAGTAGAAAACTGTATGTACGTCAATTAGCAGAAGGCTTTACGGGAATAACAACCCGGTCAAAAAGAAATAAAAAAACATTCTTAAATGTGGTCATATAATCCACGATTATTTGGAGAACACTCCAAATTGGCTGCCGCGTTTCTACTACAAAACGTTAAGTCACTACTATTTACAGTATAGTCTATGAAGCGACTGGAGACGTCTTCAAGTCATGTTGAAGCCCTATAGCAGATGTGAAAACTATTATTATTATGATTAATAAAACGAGGTAGAACAGAGAAACCGACACAAGAAATGAGTTTGATAATTGATTGAAAGTTTACTATTGTTACCCGGGATTACCTAATAAAATGGCAGACAGAACCACACACACACAGGATATTTCCGTCCCCATCACTCACTCCACAGCTGCGCTCTTTTGTTGGTAAGATATTGTTGTTGATCTGCGATGCACAACTCTGTTTCAGATGACAATTGATCGCTATGAACTCACTTCCTTATCAAATGACGTGGACATCATCCGGTCAATGTGGGAGGGCAGGTAATGTTCACAGTTTGTCGTCTGGGCGCAGGCGGGAGGGGAGAGTGAGTCTCCTTCGAGGCAATTCAATTTGCTGACAGTCAATTCAATTTGGTGACAGTCTTGGCAGCAAAATGTGGAGCAGATTTGTAGGTTTTCAGGATGTTACAAAGGTGCGATGGAACAATGCCATTGAAATATTTAATGCTTAGGTTGAATATCTTGAAATGCAACTCGAAACACAAAATCTACATCTCGCTGTCCCTCCACCTCGACCCCTTCCTTGCGTCCTTCAAAACACATGGCAAGACCCGACTCTTCGACCGTGCTTTCGATCACCCTGCTTCCCCACCTGCCCTCAAAACTCCCCAAACCCGACCCCAGCTCGGGACAAAAACTCTGACTGTTCAGCGACCTGGAACTTCTTTCCGACGTGAAAGTCTCTCTTCAAATGAATATTGCGGTTGTTGTTGAGCTTGACCTTCCTGAGATTGGGAGCCAGTTGGTATTGGCTGGTAGCATAGACTGTGGAATCGTGTGTGGGAAAAGCAATGCGTACAGATTTCTGGATATCTAGCCATCTGTGAAGGGAAGAGGCATGTTATACTGTGAGCAGACCGTTGACATAATCCAGCCCGATCGCGATCAACACAAAGGTTTAGATGTAGAATCATAGATCGATGCAGCGTAGACTACAGGATTAAAGATTTTCTTTCTATTATCAAGCCTGAGCTGAAAACCAGCCTATGATGGTGATACTTTAATATTAATATCAATATCAATATCAATATTAATGTTAACATTAACATTAACTTTAACATTATTAGTATTATCATTATCATCATCATGGTTGTCCAGTTCTTTGTAGCATTGCATCCAAGTAAAGAAACTGCAAACTAAGACGCTGGATAATAATATACAAGTTCAGCTTTAATCTTCTACCCAATGAAAAACGAAAACAAATGACTGCATTGCCGTTAACGAAAGCTGACACATGCATTACAGCAGTGAGATCCTCTTCAGGGCGGCTGGTTTTTTGGGCGAGAGACAATCATACAAAATATGAAATTGAAGTTGCCTCTTGAGCAAACTAACGTGATGCTTTAGAAAAATCTTTGTAAATTTCAGTTGAAGCAGCAAAAGTGTACATGAGCGAACAGTGTCAACTGTAACAGGAAGCACCTGTTATTGCAGTCGAGGTCGTCAGTTATAGAAAGGAATGTGTTAAGTTATATCAATTGCAGCTTATGTTATATGTGCGCTTAGGGCGACATCTGTTGGTGGATTGTATCTACAGCAGCTGTACAGTTGGAGGCATTTGATAGCCAATTGTTTTGGGCTCTTATTAACTTTGCGAGAACTATCTCCTCCATTGGAAGCATGTACCGTATTCTCATTTCCCAGCTCCTTCCTCATAGTGTCTGAGCTTCACTGGAACATTTGACTCCAATCTCTTTCACATTGTTTTCCTGTGACGTGTGTCGTTTCATGCTCGCTCCCACACTTTAATTTAATTCCTTGCACTATTCAGAGCATTGAATCACACTGTGTTCTAAGCCACAGAAATGTGACAGGTCTTATTACTGCCTGTCTGGAAATGATTCAAGTGTTTTGTCATCCGCAATAGCACTGGGTCCTGAATCTGTGCAAATCTGTGTCCAAGTCCCTTCAAATTGGCAACTTGGCAGAGAGAGAACAGGACAGGTATCTGTGGAAGACGGGTTTGTAGTGTTATGCGGGGAAATCTGGTGATTGGGGTTAGTGAAAGTGACGCTCTGTCAAAGAGCCGCACAGACTCGATGGGCCGAATTGCCTCCTTCTGTGCCGTAACATTCTATGAAAAATGTTTTTCTCCAGAATGTGCCTTAAGAACTTCCTTTATGACAGTACCACTTGTCACCATTCTTTCTCCCTCTTTCTGGGTCAAGTACCACCATTGTCAAGCTCAGCAAAAGCCACACTCATTGAAAGCACTGTATAAGAGAAGAAGGAAGCCGTTCAGACACGTGAGCATGTTCCAACGTTATATTACACAATTGCTATTCGATACCTCAACTCCAATTTCCAACCCTCGCCCGCATCCCAGACATGACAAATCTCTATCAATTCAGTATAGAAAATAATAACGGATCCAGCATCCACCTATTTTTTAGTGAAAGTGTTCCGGATTCCATTACCAATTACGCGTGAAAAAATTACCCACAATTGCTCTCCTTACTTGACTGGCTCTAACTTTAAAACGTTACACACTTGTAATGAATTCCCGCACCCACCAGAAACTGTTTTTTTCTGTAACTGGAGGAAACAGCTTCTCTGTAAGCAGAATAATTGCAACTTGTTATTTTGCATATTTTTCTACGTAGTTAAGAAACGCAAGAAAAAGACACGTGCATGGGGCCGGTCTACTCAGAAAGCAAAATATTTCAAGTTATTTCTGTGAAAATATTCCGGCTTTACTTAATAATACTATTAGTATTCCTGGAGTGTAATGTAGCATCGTATGATAACATCGCGTCGCCGAAAAGCGCTTGATAATATATTATATAAACAAAATGTCTCTATATTTTGCGGATGATAGATGGCAGCTAATTGCGCACATCGGTGGCGCATTGGATGAAGTCATCCATTTATTATTATTATTATTATTTTGAAGGGATTATTAGGCCCGGAAAACTGATCTGCCATTCGAATAATAGACCGGTTTCCGACTTACTGCTGTGTCAGAAGAGGCGAGTACGTGGAGTAAGGAAACTTGCTCAACGTTTCGTTCTGCCGGAAATCGAACCCAGATGGTCTCACTCGGAGAGACGACAGACGAGTGCAGACAGACGAGTTCTCTAACTACTCAGTTGTAGGAATCCGCAAAGCAGTTTTTGTACGGCGGAATCGCTGATCTGTGCCTCTGTGGGGCTCAGTGCACAGTAATACACCGTCGAGTCCGTAAATCTCACTTGGGATATACTTAATGGGACGGTTCTCTCCGCTTCATCCACATGCGTTGTGAAACGATCTTTTGCAAAGTCTGCCTGTCTAGGATTGTTCCTTTTGTCTGTCCAAAGGATATATTCTGGAGCTTTTTTTGCATAGTGACGGTGCCAGAACAGATCGGGAAACGTGCTTGTATTTGTATAATTGCACTGCAGATGAACAGCTTCCCCTTCATTCACTGTCACAGTAGATTGAAGCTGCGTCACAGCGTCTCCTCCACAATGTCCTAGAAACCATACAAACAGCAGATTTGAATGCAATAATAATGATAATAATCCTTGAATTTGATACAGCGCCTTATAATGTCTTTGAATCATCTCAAATGTCGTCACAGAAACAATTTAAGTGCATTTTCTGGGCGAGATGCAGTAGGCAATCATGGAGTAATTCACAAACAGTCGTGGCTTGAGTGATTTAATTATAAATAGATTATTATACCTGCAGGATCCTTTCGCAAATATAAATACAACCGGAGTGCCATAACAACTGAACTACAGGACTCCACGGCACCACGATTCCTTTAGCATTTTGATTATTTAAGACAATAAAACAATCGCGTTGGAAAATATGTGCAGGAAGCAGACAGAGAGAATGAGTTTATCGCTTACCTGACAAGGTAATGATGGCGACTGCCATATAGATATACATTGTCATATGTACTTAGTGACACGGGATGTTCAGAGAGCGTTGATGGCGCAGTTGGAGAATGTTTCCAGGGAGGCTGTAACATACCGTGAGCAGGGCTGAACAGGAAACAACATACAGATGTTACATTACACTGTGAGGGAGCAGTTCTGAGGGTTATGTACAAACCTTGTGTCCCTGTCATTGTGCGTCATCTTCACTGCTCTGTCATCTCGCTCCTCCATTGGTTTTCTTCCATCTCTGATATGTTTTTGTTCAGCCGAGTGAAATAATAATAATCCGTGCACTTGATAAAGCGCCTCACCAGGTCTTGGATACTTCTCGAATTGTTTCACGGAATATACTGCAAAATTAATTGACAGTGCGCTTTTAGAGAGAAGCGCGGCAGCCAATTGGGAACAACAGTATCGCACAAAGAGTCCTGGATTGAATAACCAATTCACTACTTTTTTTGGAAAGAATTATAAAAGCGATCTGCCAATCGACCATTGGAAGTTTTCCTACTAATTCACGAGGTAAATAGAGGAGTGGTGTAAGGAAACCTGACCAACATTTCGCACAGACGAGAATCGAAATCATATCTCTTGCATGCGAGGCGAGTGCACTAAACACTGAGATATTGGACCCAGAAGTCCTGGGCAAAGACTGTAATAAGTCGGCGACTTGCAGGAACGCTGTATCAGAAACCTGATTGGCATCGCTTTTTTCCAGGGATAATTGGCCCTTCAATAATAAATCAATAATAAAATAGATAATAATTTGGTCATTCAATCCATGATTATTTGAAGAAAACTGCTGTGCACAATCGGCTCGAACAAAGGATAAGGCACTATATCAAATGCAATGATTATTAATATTATAATGCGGCAAAAGGTATAACAAGATATTAGAAAAAGATGGTATACAAAAGATACTAACGGCAAAGTAAGCTGAGAGTGATTGAGAGCACAGCACATGTCTCCCGCAGAGCCCCGCCCACACAGCCACTGTCACGCCCACAGAGCTACGTCACTCAGGCAATGCACCGCCCACACAGAGCGCCGCCCACACAACCACTACCATGCCCACAGAGCTACGTCACTCACTGAATTCCCCGCCCGCACTGAGCCCCGCCCACACAGCCAATGCCACGCCCATCGAGCTACGTCACTCAGTCACTGCCCCGCCCGCACTGAGCCCCGCCTACGCAGCCACTGCCACGCCCACAGAAATACGTCACTCAGACTCTGCTCCGCCCGCACTGAGCCGCATCGCCCAATCAATGCCGTTGCATTACAACGCCCCGCCCAAACAGCGCCCCGCCCCCTCCACTCCCCGCAGACAAACACACACAGTGCCACACAATCAGGTCACTCAACCCACAATATTGTGTGGGCCACTCTTTTGCACAGTTGACTACCACGTTTGACCCGCACAATACAATCTAACGCCCCACACACCTCCCCCCACTTCACCTCTTCCATTCCACACCCGAACACTATCCCACACCCACAGTGCCAAAAAATAAGGCAACTCAAACCACAACGTTTTGTGGGACACTGCTGTACACAACTGGCATCAAACAATATATGACTCCACTTTTCAGCGTCTTCTGTGAAGAGCTTTCAGACGTCTCAATTACGCAATATGGCAGTATATAAAACGCAACGTTTACTTTTATTACGGTTATTATTACTGTGTTGAATAAGACATGCCCTTACAATTGTGTTCATTAATTGTGTTTGAGAAATGGTTTGATCAAATGCAGTCTTGTCATTTCGTCGTTTCGCCTCAAACTTCCCCGCAAGTCGCAATATCAAGTACAGAATTTGTCAGTTTAGCCTCCAATTTGTATACAACACTGTCCCACAAATAGCTACGAATGAAAGATGTATTTTACCAATGGAAAGTCTGTAGGTAGAAACCTTGTTCCTTCTCAAGTAGTGCAATGGTATCATGACACTCCCTTCATGCAAGCCGCCTGGACCTGGGTTTAATATCTCCTTGGTAGGAAAAGCTAACCCGACAGCCAGGCCAGCTCTGGTGTGTCAGCACAGAACATCAGAACTTAATCCAATACATTTTAGACAGTGAGCACTTCGGTTGCTTTTGAATGTTTCAGTTGCGGGATGAAATGTCAATGATCCTTTTTAATTACATAGTAATAAACTTATTAAATAGCCTAATATTCACGTTCAGAGTAGTTGACTGAACATAAGGTGAGGAGGGGATAAGTACNTTTTTTTTCGCACGGCGAGTTATATTGATCTTGCACGCATTGCCTGAAAGTGTGGCAGAAGCCGATAATCTAACAACTTTCAAGAGAGAATTGCTATATAGTAGGGAATACAATATAGCAGCGGCTGCTATTTGGGGAAAAATGGAACAATATAGAATATGTGCGATAGAAGTTGTTACTTCAGCAACCTAAATCTTGTATTAATACTTTAGGTAAATATTTGTAAATGTCAGTTGAAGCAGCAATAGTGTGTATGAGTTAACAATGTGAAATGCAACAGTAAGCACCTGTTACCTTTGCAAAGGAAGTTACTTACAGAAAGGAACTTGACAACTTATGTGAGTTGCAGTTCATTTGTTATATGTGTTCGTTTAGTGTGACATCTGCTAGTGGATTGTAGCTACAGCACGTATTCGATTGGAGAGGTTTCATAGCATAATTATTTTGGGCCCGTCTTGCCTTTCCTTGGTGCTATCTTGAACACTGAAATTTTATACATTAGTCTCATTTCCATGATCTTTCCTCATATTTTCTGTTCTTGCCTGGAACATTCGAGTAAAATGTCATTCACATTCTCTTAACTTGACGTGTCTCAGTGCAAACACTCGCTGCCCCACTTGCTCTCCAATTTTAATTCAATTCCTTGCCGTTTTACTTCATCGATTATATTATTTGACTAAACACTTAGCTGACTTTGAGCATTTTACAACAGAATAACAGAAGACTGGCAATTAGGTAATGCTGTTTCATGTCAGGAGGACGTCCCAAGGTAAATGTGTTCTCCAGACCTAAAACTTAAATTAATGTTCATTCTTCTATACCGTAAATACACTAAATGTTTTCTTTCTTTAGTGACTCGCCAATTCGCTCCCCTACGTGGAAAGTGTTGAATAGGAATACGAGGAGGATATCAGCTCCTTGAGCCTGTTGCAACGTTAGGTTACATCGTGGCTGATCTACCTCTCAACTCACATTCCTGCCTTTTCTCCGTACCCTTTCAAATTGTGAGATAAAATAAATGCATCCAACTCAGTCTGGAAAATACAAATGGAAAAAACATCCTCAGATTCTTTGTGGAAGTTTTCCTGATTTATTCAAATGTTTCGTAATTTGATTCTTCCCATTTCACTGCTAACAGGACTGGCTCTAATGCACCATTGTTATGCATTCCCCCATCCACCAGAGGAAACAGTTTCTCTATAAATAGATTTTAAAAATTTTGTGTAAACCACATAAATGGAATATGTATGTTTTGATATTTCTTACTTACTCAAGCAGCATGGAAAGAAACTTGCCTGTGGCAGCGCTCCCCACAAAGCAATAGATTTTTATTGATTTACCACTGGGATGATAACATGACTACAGTTAATTACAATGAAAATAATAATAGTTGCTTTTTATATAGCGCGATATTATATCTTCGAGACACCGCACAGTGTTTCTTTCAATATACCTTAAACGTAATGACTGTATATTGTGAGTGTAAAGCAGGTTTGTATTGTACGCATCGCTGTCCCATTGGATAAAGCGTCCAATTTATTCTCAACACTATTATTCCGAATGCATTATTACCTCTGGAAAATCGAACCGCCGAACGATTAACAACCTGCTTGCTACTTACTGCTTGCAAACAGAGACGGGTGTGTGGAATAAGGAAATTTGCACAACGTTTTGTTCTGCTGGCAATTGAAACAACATCAGTCGCTTGTGAGGCGTGTGCTATGACCACTGAGCTACACCAACCTCCATGTTATCATTGCATAAGTTTGTCAGTCTGTTAAAAGCACCAAGTGAAATGTGTGAGAGCAAGATATGACTGCCTGCTGAGTTTTTGTACGGGGAATCTGCCTTCCTGTAACAGTGTGGGCTCCAGGGCAGAGTAGTACACAGCGCTGTCTCCCACAACAGCCCCGAGTATCTGCAGCTTAATTACTTTATTCTCCTTCATCAGCTCGGCTGTGAAACGTTCAGGTAGATCAGGAGATTTGTCTGCATTTCCAGAGGCATATATCCTGAACATGTAATGAAGGTTTCCATCGGGATATTGCTTGTACCAGAAGGCAGTGCTCAATGTTGAAATATTACATTTTAATGTCACGTCTTTTCCTTCAATATCTGTTATCTCGGGAGGATATTGGGATACAACATCTTGTCCACGGACTTCTGCAAGAATAGCAAAACCAACACATTAGGCTGAGCAACGCTCAGTGATAATTTCAATTCATCATAAAGATAGTAATTATTCCTTTTTACATAGCGCCTTATCACAAAGTTCAGAGTCTCAAAGAGCCAAGAGATTACACATATACAATCAGTTCACTTTACAGTGTGTTCTGTGAAGCGCTTTGGGACGTCCTCCCGACATGAAAAGCGCTATATCAAATACAAGGATTATTATGACTATTGTAAACCGAATTGAATATATTTTTTAGATGAAACTGAACAGCTAAGTAAGCACAGCATTGTCCAACAACATCAACAACAAACCGTAGATTAAATGATCAGATTATTGTTAACTGTTTTTTTTAATGGGTTATTACCCTCGGTTCCCACTTAAAACCGAAGCGTGAAACTTGCTGAAAGTTTCGACTGCCCGTGAATCGAACACAGTTCCTGTCGCTTCCCAGGCGATTGCTCTACACATTAAGCATCTGATATTATATAGCGTACAAATGATGCGATGGGCATGTCCACACATACTTACTGGCTATGGTGAGGATGGCTATCAGTAACTGGCAGTGAGCTGTCATGTTGGCTGCTGAGGTGTGGACAGATAATGGGATCT